AACTGACAACATGTAAGAATAATAAACAATGCATGTTAAAGGAGTAAATAAATTTAGCATGTTTACTTTTGAAGTCAGAGGATGTTTAAACGGCCAAAGTACCCTAGAGTAAGTATTAACTAAACTTTACGATAATATTCATTATTTCTGTTTATATTACCTAAGCCAGAAAGCACTTTCTTCATATTTACTCTGAATGTAGGTTTCTACTCCAAAGTTGTAACAGAGGATGTGAAGATACCCAGTCTGCAATATTAAAAAAGAAAAAAAGATATGTGAGAGTCATGATTTCCTTAACATTAAAAACTCCACAGCAGTTCAGACTCTTTAAAACATACTTAAGGTGTTCTGTACATCAAAATAACCCACTCATCCTTATCAAAATCTCTCAATTTATTTAGAGGAGATACAAAATATTCAGGTGGTAGCATCAGTTATGTATGGAAAAGTAATACAATATATAGTATATAAAATATATAAAAGAATACAATAAATAAAATATATTTCTAATAGACTTGAAAGGTCCTTTATAATAGGAAATGGAAAGCCTAATAATTGCCCAGAAAAAGTACAGGCTAAAATGCCTCTGTAGGTTGCCATATTCAATAAAAAGCATTAGATTAGAGAGTATATTCAAAACCGAAAAAAAAAAAAATCACCATTGGGAGGAAAAGAATAATTTTTTATTCCAAAATTAAGACAACTTTAAATAACTCTAAAGTTCCAAAATGTGCCCACAGCACTTACCTAGTCATAAGAGTTATTTAAAATAATTAGTTTAATGGACCCTCTTTAACAACAAAAATTTTCTTTATAGAAGTAACCACTGAGATAAAAGCAGGAACGAGGATGTGAAAGGGGCCATAGGGAAACACTCTGGTGGGCTGATCGGCACCTGGGTCCCCACATTAACGCCACATCTTACGAACTTGCATCTGTCAAAATACTGGCAAATGGCATGAAAAAAAAAATTTACTTCTAATAATTTATCCAAATATCCCCCCTTCAGAAACCATCTACCCAGAATCTGATTAAGGAGTCCTTTCGAAGTTTTACCTGAGTAAGACTACAGAAGCAGATCCTCAATTAGGAATCCAAGATCTGAGGCAAAGTAATAGGTAAAGACCTGTCTTGCTTCCAAAAAAGTTTCTCTTTAAATTACAGTACTTTCAGAAGAAGTTCAATATGCAAGCCTGAGCACATCAGACCGACTGGATATTTGAATCAAAAATAAAGAAATAGTCTTGGTAATGTGGGTCTGGCAAGAATCCAGAGGTATTTAAATACATTCTTGACATTTCAGCAAAAAAAAAGCTTAACTCATTCTATGCTCCAGATCCCATAGGTTCACACAGGGACACACCAATTATGTAGCTATACCGAAATAATGGAGCTCACACCCATTTGCTGCAGAGAGGCCTGCAACTAATAGTCCAGAGGAAAATGGAAAATAAAGCTTTTCATGGATATTTAAGTGTACTGAGTATTCAATTTCCTCAGTATTTGCCTCTGCCCTCACGATCTCTGCAAACGGACCTACGTTCAATGCTACTTCCTAGGGAGAAAAGAATATGAGATAAGAAATTTATGACAACAAACCTGCAGAGTATTAGAATACCTTTCAAGAGACTCCCAGCAGATTTTTATTTTGATGACAAAAATACATTTTAACTACCAATACTGCTCCATTCACTCATTCATTTATACATTCAATAATAAATAGTTACTAAGAATTTCCTAACTATTAGGCACTATTTTAAACATTAGACATACAACAGGAAACAAAACAGACAAAAATCTCTGTCCTCATGAAACATTTCTAATGGGGTATGAAGTACTAAGGTTCACAAAAATATCTCTTTAAAAAATATGTTCCTAGCCCTCTATGGAGTGCTAACATTTCATTTTGCGACCAATATACAATGGCAAAGAAAAATACAAAGAATGCAGATGGGAAGGACTTTTGTATATTGGCTTTTACTGATGCATTATGGGATCCCCAGGATCCCTGGGGTCTCTAGAACCTCCAGCCACTGCTACATCACGTGGCCCAGAAATGACAGTTCCAACCGAAAACCTACTTTACAATGCCGAGATGAGATTATTAGGTGATTTTAAAAACTGAATTAGATATTACTGCTAAAAATGAGTTTGATCATTAACTTTTCAGTTCATTAAAAGGCTTTTTATTTTTAATTAACTAGATAACTTTTTTTTCAGCAAATTATTTTGTAAATTCGGTTTTTAAAATTCAGAAAAAGCAAACCTCTTCTTTGCCCAGTCTCAAATTTCAAGCTATTTTTCTTTGTATTTTTTTTGCCACTGTGTATTGCTTGCAAAATGAGATGTCTTTTAAACATTTATAGGTAATGGATTTTCACATTTTGTTCAATTATAATAGTGTAGTAATAATTGAATGATAATTGCCTGGCTTTCTCAGTTATTGGCTTTAAGACATTACCTTCTAGTCCCTCCCTTATGTGCCTTTCCCTAATCCTCAGATATCTCAGTAATAAATAGGTTGTTAGTAATTTCTCCTGGTAAAGACACAATTTTTCAAACGCTTTATTTATTTGCTTCTGAACAATACAGCATTACCTTCTGCCTTGATGTTAACACCTTACAGTAATTCTTAACCTAGTTTTGAGATACAAGAAGGATGTCTCAGGAAAAAAAAGATAGCTGGTATACTTAATTCCTTTTAAGTGAATAACACTATGCCAGCTTCTTTAACCTTTATCCAATCATTTCCTGTCATTATAAGATTCCCTGCCCTAGATTTTCAGGTCCCTTGTCTAAACCTTAAGCCCATCAAAAACACACTAAATACTTTCATTGACCTTTAGAATTAAAATCATAAGTTTCCTAACAGTATAGTTCTATCAACCAAATAAAATAACTCTTAGCTTTCTGGACTTAAAGGTCTTTTACCATTAACCCCATCCTGATGAGGGCACAATTACGCTTCTGTTACATATCTTCTGTCTTCTAATTCAGCTCTTTCCTCTGTCTCTCCATTTCACTTTCCCTTATCAGCTCTAACACTGCACAAGTTACCAAAAAAGTTTTCTTTCCTTATACACCACCTAAGAATCTCTCTTCATATCTTTTAATACACAGTTCAGGGTCCATTAACTCTACAAAGCATATTAAAGAAAGGTGTCTGTCTTCTAGTAATTTATAATGTGAAATAGATAGCAACAGAGCCAAAAGAAAGAGATGGTAAAAACAGGCAAAGAATCCAAGAAAATATTTACAGATAACTTTATGGATAAAATTATTAGAATTAATAAGACGACAGAAAAGTTGCTGGATATTAAGTAAACATTTATAAACAACTGTATTCTTATACATCAATGACAAAAAAATTAAAAATATAATCTTACAGATATCACTTAAGATAGCAACTGAATATGAAATATCTTTACACAGAAAATTTCAAAACTATGCTGAAATAATTTTGAAAAATAAAAACAAAGTTGGAAGTCTCAAACGTCCATATTTCAGATGTATGGTACAACAAAGCTACAGTAATCAAACAGTATTGGACTGTCATAGGACTTACACATAAACAATGCAATGGAACTGAGAGCACAGAAATAAAATTCAACACCTACGGTCAATTGATTTTTGACAAAGGTGCTTAAACCAGTCAATGGGAAAAGAATACTCTCTTCAACAAATGATAAACTGGGTTTTCACATGAATTTGGACTCCTCCATAACACTGGGTACAAAAATTAAGTCAAAGTGGATTAAAGAATTTTGTCAATTTAAGTGCTATAAAATTCTTAGAAGACAGGTAAATCATCATAACCTTGGATTCTTAGATCTGACACCAAAAGCACAAGCAACAGAAGAAAAAGTAGATAAATTGAATTTCACTAAAATTTTAAAAGTTTCTACATGAAAGGATACTACCCAGAGGGTGAATATATAACCTAGAAGATGAAGAAAATATTTGCAAATCATATACGTATATATGATAAGGGTGTCATATCCAAAAGATTTAATTATCAAAAGACAATCCAATTTTAAAATGGACAAAGGACTTGAATTTACATTTCTTCAAAGAACAGAATGGCCATACAAATTGCAAATGAGCATGTGATAAGATGCTTCACATCATCAGTCATTAGGGAAATGCCAGTCAAAACCACACGATACTGCTTCACACCCACTAGGATGGCTTTAATTAAAGAAATTGGAAAATAACAAGCATTGGTGAGGATGTGGAGAAAGCGGAACCTGGTACATTACAGATGGGAATGTAAAATATACAGCTAATGTGAAAAACAGTTTAATCCTTCATCAAACAATGACAACTGCCACAGGACCCAGCAATTCCAGTCCTAAGTATAAACCCAAAAGAACTGAAAACAGATACTCAAATACTCGTACTGGAATATTCGTAATAGCACTATACACGATGTTCAAACAGGGGAAACAACCCAAATCTCCATCAATTGGTAAATGGATGAACAAAACATGGTCTATCCAAACCATGGACTATTATAATAGGCAATTCTACAGAGACAGAAAGCAGAGAAATGACTTCTAGGGGCTGGGAAGA